ATTGCTCCAGGCAGCCAGCAAAGAGCATAATCTTTTTCCTCCTGTGAGGTGAAGACCTGTTATTGACAATGAGGACCAAAGCTTGGCATATCCAATCCTCCTCTGAGCCAAACTGTGGCCAGAAAACTGAAGATTTGTGAATTGGCTCCCTGGTCCAGATAAAACAACAGTATCTAATTATCTTTTGTTTTTCCCTGTTCTTTGTCAGGGGGAACTACTTCCCCATTGTTTCAACATTTCCCCTAATGGATTATCTGGGGGAATGCCGGAGGGAGTTCCCTCTCTGCCTGTCTTTCTTGATTCCCTAGGTCTAGAATTTTTATTTCCAATTTTCAGTCAGGTCTATAACCCCGGTGCCTAAATTTCCCTATGTACTCAACCGCCCATATTGGAGGTTTCTTGCACACGTTGGGACCTGCTTCATCTGTCTCTGGCTATTTCCCTGGCTGGAGAACGAGAACAGAACTGTGGGTTGAGACTCCGCACTCACTTCATATCTGGGATACATCTCAGTCACACACTAACCTCTAAAAATACCCATCTACCAAGGCAGTACTTACAGTCCAATTTTTCCTAATTTGGCTCATGAACTAGGTTGCCTGGTTGCAATGGTGACTACTCTTTCTCCCCTATGTCACTTCCACTGGCTCCAGAATAATAGTCTCAGGCATCTCTACGGTCCCATGAGAAGTCAAGACACACCAGCAGAGTAGGTCATCCGAAATTGGGTGGGATATGTCTCCCCCTCTGCTGGTGTCCCTCCTACAGTCTCAGAATATCCCAGATGAGCCCCCAAATTGTGAGAAACAAATTCACCTGTCCAAAATCAAAAGATGGACACGGAGACACGGAGTACAGCAGAAGCAAGACTTTAATGGTGATGTTACAAGATCAGGTGGCTGGTAGGCAGGCACACCTGGTACAACTACAGCGAACAATTTATCCCTCAGTGCAAGTCCCTCCCCTGGTTCCTCATTGGCTGAGTACTGTGGGGGGTTACAATCTTCCTGAACGTCACCTAAGTCCCATTTTTCCCTAATTAAGGGGGCTGGATTGAATAAGGTGATATATTCCTTCTCCATTAGTGGGCTCGTGGGGCACTGGTCAGAACCTGATTGGTTCCTTGGCCCCTTTGGCCATTGGTTCTGGTGGGCTTTCTTGGCAGGGCTGTTGGGGTGGGGAGGAGGTGTTCATGTTACTCAACCCCTCCACCTCCTTCCTTCTGGATTATTTTAGGCTTCTGTTTCCCCAGGGCGACATGTCGTCCTCTCCATCCTGTTTGTTCAGAAACTTTCCGGGAACATGTACTTCTTGCAGTTGTTCTACCTGTAAGCCTACTATGTAAGCTCTGAAAATGAACCATTGAAATGCTTATTTCACACTCTCTCTACAACAGATCAAAAAAATTAGCTGGGCATGGTGGCACATGCCTGTAGTCCCAGCTACTTGGAAGGCTGAGGTGGAAGGATTGCCTGAGTCCAGCAGGTTGAAGCTACAGAAGTCATAATCTTGCCACTGCATTCCAGCCTGGGCGACAGAGGGAGACTAACTCAAAAAAAAAAAAAAAAAAAAGAGAGAGAGAAGTTGGGGGTTGTGGTTGTCCTTCTGGAGGGAACACAAGGGGGCTTCTAGGGTGCTTGTGATATTCTGTCTCTTGATCTGTGAGCCAGGTACACGGGTTTGGTATGTTTGTAATAATTTTTTTATTTTGAGTCAGAGTCTCACTCTGTCACCCAGGCTGGAGTGCAGTGGCATGCTCCCGGCCACTGCAGCCTTGACCTGCTGGGCTTAGGTGATCTTTCCAGCTCTGTCTTCTAAGTAGCTGGAACTACAGGCATGTGCCACCATGCCTGGCTAAATTTTTTAAATTTATTTTAGAGACAAGGTCTCGCCAAGTGGCCCAGGCTGCTCTTGAACCCTTGCAATCCTCTCACTTCCACCTCCCAAAGTGCTAGAATTACAGGCGTGAGCCACTGTGCCCAGCTAATAATTAATTGAGCTATACATGATATATGCACTTTTCTGTATTGCATATTGAACTTCATTTTTTTTAAGTTTTAAGAAAACATTAAATAAATAAAAAGAGCAAAAGTCTGTCATACAGAAGAATTCCTAACAGTTTATGCTGATACTCCATCCTGAAGAAGGAGGCACGTGACTCCCCATTCCTTGGACGCGGGCTGTACATGGTGATTTCCTGCCAAAGGATACAGCATGGAGAGGGGCAGGGAGTAACCTTACAGTGAAGAGACATGACATACACTACCTTAGCCAGGTGATCAAGGTCAACATCAGCAGCAACAAGTAATGTGGGTGTGTGCCCTTGGTATGATGTCATGAGAATGGCACTTGGCCTTTAAGATCTTCCTCCCAATAACGCATAACCCCAGGCTTACCAAGAGAAAAATATATTAATTCCAGTAGTAAGCATCTTAAAAAAGACCCAGTCAGGACTCCTGAAAATGGTCAAGGTCATCAAAAACAAGGATAGTCTGAGAAACTGTCACAGCTGAGAGGATTCCAAAGAGACATAAGGACTAAGTGTCGGGTGGTGTCCTCAATGGGATCCTGGAACAGGAAAAGGATGTTAGGTAAAAAAAACAAAAACAAAAACTAAGGAAATCTAAATAAACTGTGGACTTTAGTGAGCAAGAGAGAGAGAAACTGTTTTCTATAAACTTCGCCTAACCCAAATCTTGACTTTTTCATGAAGTGGGCTGACCCCAGTGGAGAGACAGACAGGAAACAGCTCTCCTTTCCTCTCTTCCAACCTTCTAACACACTTTGTTGCTCTGTGGCTCTGTCGGGGTCCCCATCCTTGCCCTTTGGCATCTTCCCAGGTTGATCCCACAGCTTTCTCATTTTCAGGAATAAAAAGCTCAGTCTAGTCTAATTCAAAACTTCCTTCTCATATCCAGTTTCAGGCTTGTCCCCAACTCCCCTTAGACCTGACTGAGACCTCGGTCCATCTCCAAGATTTCTTTAGTACAATGAACAACCATATGATTTCATCTAGCTGCATGGAGATCTGACATTTCTCATATCTATGTTCTCTTGATTGGTTGATATATGTACATTTACAGAACCATTTGAAAAGGCAACAGGACACTTCACCCCTAAATACCACAGCATTAATCTCCTAAGAATAAGGGTATGCTCCCACATAACCATGGGACTATGTAACATTTATTCCAGAATATCATCTAACATCCAGTTCATGTCCACACTTATTTCAAAAACGTCTTTTGAAGATTTAAAATTTCTTTGGTTGAATGCAGTATTCAATTAAGGTTCATACATTGTCTTTGGTTTCCTTTTTTTTTTTTTTTTTTTTTTTGAGTTGGAGTCTCACTCTGTGGCACAGGCTGGAGTGTAGTGGCACACTCATGGCCACCCCAACGTTGACCAGCTGGGCTCCGGCGGTTCTTGTGCCTTAGCCTTCCAAGTAGCCGGAACTACAGGCACGTGCTACCATACCCAGCTAATTTTTTTATTTATTGTAGAGACAAGATCTCACCAGTTCCCCCGGGCTGGTCTCGAACCCACAGGCTCAGGCAATCCACTCATCTCAGCCTCCTAAAGTGCTGGGATTACAGGCTGAGCCACCAAGCCCAGCCATTTTTGGTTGTTATGTCTCTTATACTTTTTGTTCTAAAACAGGCCCTAGCTGGGCACAGTGGCTCATGCCTGTAATCCTAGCACTTTGAGAGGCCAAGGCAGGAGTATTGATTTAGTCCAGATGTTCAAGACCAACCTGAGCAACATAGTAAGACCTCATCTCTATAAATTAAAAAAAAAATTAGCAAGGTATGGTGGCACGTGCTTATAGTCCCAGTTACTCGGGAAGCTAAGGTGGGAGAATTGTTGGAGCTCAAGAGTTGAAGGCTATGGTGAGCTATGACCATGCCAGGAGCTCAAGAGTTGAAGGCTATGGTGAGCTATGACCATGCCACTACACTCCAACCTGGGTGACAGAGTGGAACTTCAACTCTGGACATGCATACATACATACATACATACACACATACACAAAACAGGCTCTGTTTTTTGTTTTTGTTTTTTTTTTTCTGAGTTGGAGTCTCACTCTGTCGCCCAGACTGGAGTGCAGTGGCCGCTTGTGGCCACCGCAGCCTCAACTTGCTGGGCTCCGGCGATCCTTCCGCCTCAGCCTTCCGAGTAGTCGGAATTACAGGCATACGCTACCACACCCGGCTGATTTTTTTGATTTATTGTAGAGACGAGGTCTCGCTGTATTGCCCAGGATGGCCTTGAACTCCTGGGCTCAAGCAGATTCGGTGGCCACAAGCGGCCACTGCACTCCAGTCTGGGTGACAGAGAGAGACTCCAACTCAAAAAAAAAAGAGTGCTCTGGGGGGCCAGGCACTCAGTAGGCTGAGGTGGGAAGACTCCCTAAGCCCAGGAGTTCAAGGCCATGGTGAACTGTGATCATGCATTCCAGACTGGATGACAGAGTGAGACTCTGATTTTTTAAAAAGTGCCCTGGGGGAAAAGCCATCACTGGCCACTTGGCCTCCAATGTGTCACTGGGTGGGGGAGCTCTCTGTGTCTTAGCGGCGTAGGAGGTATCAGCAAGATGCCAGCCCTGGCAGAGGGGACCTTTGACACAATGTCCACTGTACACATGGTGCTGGCAGGGGTGCTGTCCTTGGCTTCCCTGTTTTTGAGTGGTCACTTGCCTCCTCCACTCTAGCCTCAAAACAGGAAACAGATGATAGGTAGAGGAGAGAGGAAGGGCTGGGAATTCAGACACCTGGGCCGGAAATTGGGAGACTTCTTTCGTCCTCAGATTCTGTGATGTGCTAAGAGTCAGTTCCAGGGGCCCAGGATACATAGTAGATGTATCTTAGTCTTTCTGGTGTCCAACTGGGAGCCAAGCATAGAATACGTGTGGGTGTTTATCAAATACCTGAGTGAGTGATTGAATGAATGAATGTCTCCATCTAAACACTCAGCCTAGCCCCTCCTTCCTTTTCCTGTAGTCTGTACAGATGGCGTTGTCCCAGTTGGTTTCTTTCTCAGCCTCGGACCTTCTCCTGGCCTCTGCCATCTTCTGCCTCGTGTTCTGGGTGGTCAGGGCCTCATGGCCCCGGGTCCCCAAAGGCCTAAAGAGCCCGCCAGGGCCATGGGGCTGGCCCCTGCTAGGGAATATGCTAACCCTGGGGAAGAGCCCACACCTGGTCCTGTCGAAGATGAGCCAGCAGTATGGGGACATCCTGCAGATCCGAATCGGCTCTACGCCCGTGCTGGTGCTGAGCGGCCTGGACACCATCCGGCAGGCCCTGGTGCGGCAGGGCGACGACTTCAAGGGCCGGCCCGACCTCTACAGCTTCTCCTTCATCACCGAAGGCCAGAGCATGTCCTTCAGCCCAGACTCTGGGCCAGTGTGGGCTGCCCGCCGGCGCCTGGCCCAGAACGCCCTCAACACCTTCTCCATTGCTTCTGACCCAGCATCCTCGTCCTCCTGCTACCTGGAAGAACATGTGAGCAAGGAGGCTGAGGCCCTCATCAGCAGGTTCCTGGAGCTGATGGCCGGGCCCGGGCGCTTCGAGCCCTACAGCCAGGTACTGTTGTCGGTGGCTGGTGTCATCGGCGCCATGTGCTTCGGGCAACACTTTCCCCAGAGCAATGATGAGCTTCTCAGCCTTTTGAAGAGCAGCCATGAGTTTTCAGAGACCGCCACCTCCGGAAACCCCGTGGACTTCTTTCCCATCCTTCGCTACCTGCCCAACCCCACCCTGCAGAGGTTCAAATCCTTCAATGAGAGATTTATGCGGGTCCTGCAGAAAACAGTCCAGGACCACTATCAGGACTTTGACAAGGTGAGCCTGGGCTGCGGGGATGTGGGGGCATAATGCAGGGTCTGGGTGCAGACTCTCTCCCAGCTCCAACAGGTCCATACAGCCGATGGGCTGCCAAAGCCTAGGAAGGCTCTGGACTCCTCAGACCAGTTGTATGAGCTGAAGACAACCCCTCCCCCTCTCTAGGCCTCAGTTTCTTTGTCCCTACAGCCTCTCTCTCAGGGATGCTCAAAGCCCAGAGTCCTGTGAACGGCCCCCTGGTAGAGTCCTGCACGTGGGAGGCCTGTGAGTGAGAAGGCATTTGTATTGCAGGAATCTGAATCCCAACAGAGGCTAATCCCCAGCTCTGGTATCACTTTGCTTCCCTGTGTTCACAATAACTTTTTCCTCCTTTGAAATTGGACTCCTGTGGCTGTTTGGAAGAAGGGTCAACAGGGCATGAAATGACACTTTCATACCCAGGGCTGCTACCAGCTCCTGCTGGGAGCTCCAGCCCACTGTCTGGAGGCCAGAGCTGGGGGAGGTACCCAGACTCCAGGGACTGGCAAGCGGGAAGAAGTTCCAGCCTTTGACCCTGGAAGTGTCAGAGGGTGCCACTAAGCTTGTGCCCCCTCAGAACAGTGTCCAGGACATCACAGGTGCCCTGTTCAAGCACATCGAAAAGGGCCCCAGAGCCAGCGGTGACCTCATTCCCCAGGAGAAGATTGTCAACCTTGTCAATGACCTCTTTGGAGCAGGTAGGAGCCAGACCCCTGCCAATCCATCCATTGGCACCTGTCGCTTACCCACAGTCTTGCCTAGCCCCTGAGTTTATGAAATAATCCCCCAACCACACACCAGATGGTAGAAGACACAGAAACCTGGCTTGGGATCAGGGTTTGAGCCCAGGCTGTGCCACCAATTCCTAGTGGAAACTCAATAAAATCTCTCTCCTCCCTTAGGCCTCAGTTTCCCCATCTGAACAATAAAAGACTCTCTGGCCTGTAAGTCTAGGTCACTGTAATCCCAGCAGCTAATTATGAAACCAGTGTTTCAAGTTGTTATCGAAGAGACCCAGTCCCTGCCCTCAGGCTAGGGCCAGAGACAGACAACACTTGATACATACATGATAGGTGCTTAGTAAATGGTGGTTTCCTTTTTCCTGTCTTCCTCCCTCACCTCCCCTATGCTGCCCAGGGTTTGACACAGTCACAACAGCCATCTCCTGGAGCCTTATGTACCTTGTGACTAATCCTGAGCTACAGAGGAAGATCCAGAAGGAACTGGGTATGTGATGGCTGCCAACCCTATGGCCAGGAGAAGGCTTGAACCCAGATCATTTGTTCAGTCTACAAATACCTGCTGTGGCCCTACTGTGTGCATACAGTGATGCCTACTATTGCCCAGAAGATGGGGATGGGGCAGTTAGTGAAGTCTCAGACACGTGAATAAACAGAGTGTCATGCAGAGTAGCACGTGGTATAACAGGGACGTGCTGTGGCATAGTTGGGGCTGCCCCAAGCTCTGTCCATCCCCTGTGTTCTGCAGACAAAGTGATTGGCAGGGCGCGGCGGCCCCGGCTCTCTGACAGACCTCAGCTGCCCTACTTGGAGGCCTTCATCCTGGAGACCTTCCGACACTCCTCCTTTGTCCCCTTCACCATCCCCCACAGGTGAGACCTCCCTGTTCTGCCCTCCCACCTCTGCCATGTTTTCTCCTCCCAGCTTCTCAGGCCTGGGCCGGGATCAGACCTCAAAGTTTTCTTCCGGGCCATGACACCAGATTCCTCAGAGATCCCAGCCCAGCCAGGTGTGGTGGCTCACACCTATAATCCCAGCAATTTGGGAGGCCAAGGCAAGAGGATTGCTTGAGCCCATAGGTTCAAGACCAGCCTGGGCAACATGGTGAGACCTTGTCTCTATAATAAATAAATGTAAAAAATTAGCCAAGTGTGGTGGCACATGCCTGTAGTTCCAGCTACTTGGAAGACTGAAGCAGAAGGATCGCCTGAGCCCAGCAGGTTGAGGCTGTGATTGCCGTGAGCATACCACTGCACTCTAGTCTAGGTGACAGAATGAGACTTCATCTCAAAAAAAAAAAAAAAAGACCCCCAAGGCCCCATGGTCTGCCCCCATCCAACTCAAACAAACATGATCCAACTACCAGCTCTCAGGGGAAAACCTCCTGACCTCAGCTCACATTCCCTGCCTCCAAGTACCCACTGCATGTCTAAGTAGGCCTCACGGGCCCTCACAAGTATAACCCCTTCAACCTCCAATTTTGCTAATGTTTGCCTGAATGCCTTCTTTTTCTCTTCTCTGACTTACCAGAATTCTACCCTTGCTCAAGGTCAATCCCAACACAAGCTTCCCCTACCCCAGAAGCCTTTTGGACTCACCCAGCTGGCTTCATTCCTGATGTCTTATAGGACTTACAGCTCTTGGCCCTTGCTTATGTCCTGGAATTTTAACAATGCCAAGAGAGTTAGCGAGCACTTACTTCTGCCCAAATATTGGTCTAGTTTCCAGCCGGGGTAGAAACTCCCCAGGGCTGGCCCAAACTGCCTGCTGCTAATTTTTTTTTTTAATAGAAAAACACTTGCCTGAGATTGCTTGCTTCTTGGCTCCAGAGAATGGCCAAGTACACAGCTGGGCACAAAGAGAAGTTTAGTAAACATTCGCTGAAGATGAGAAACAAAGCCGAGGAAGGTGGAGAATAATCCCACCTCCTCCCAGTACCTCAAGTTCCCTCCCAGGGTAGGGGTTGGAGACGGTGCAGGCAGGCTATTGGGGTGGGTAGAGGTAGAAGCAACATGCACCCCCACTCCCCAGCCCTGAGCCTCACAGAGCCCTTTTCCTTCCTCAGCACGACGAGGCACACAACACTGAATGGCTTCTACATCCCAAAGGAATGCTGTGTCTTTGTAAACCAGTGGCAGGTCAACCATGACGAGTGAGTACACATCCCTCACCGTGAAATGTGTGCAGGTTCAGCAGTCAGGAAGGCTGCTTGGCCCTGCTAGGAGCTGATTATATAACAACGAAGGGGTGGGGCCTCAGCAGCTCCATTACCTGTTCCAAGTGGCACACTTCAGTCCAGCCTTTTCACTTTAGTGCACACAGGAGTCGACCAAGATGTTACAGCTGACTGCGACCTATCCGCCATGATGTACTGAGGGGGATAAGGTGGGGTTGGGTTTGCAGGTGACCCTGGTGGGACTGGTCCAGAGACTACCCTTTAGGAAACTCTACTTTTTTTTTTTTTTGAGTCAGAGTCTCATTCTGTCACCCAGACTGGAATACAGTAGCACCATCACAGCTACTGCAGCCTCAACTTGCGGGCCGCAGGTAATCCTTCTGCCTCAACCTTCCAAATAACTGGACTACAGGTGCCCACCACTACACCCAGCTAATTTTTTGATTTATTGTAGCGATGCAGTCTCGCCATGTTGCCCAGGCTGGTTTCTAACTCCTGGACTCAGGCAATCCTCTTGCCTCAGCCTCAGCCTAGGAAACACAACTTTAGCACTATAGATGGGGGAAGGGGCATATAATTTATCATCCATACTGGAATACTTTGAGGTATGAAAGTGCAGTCGATAGATATGTTATGAATTACTCTAGCCAGGTGCAGTGGCTCATGCCTGTCAACCCAGTTCTTTAAGAGGCCAAGGCAGGAGGAATGCTTGAGGCTCAGAGTTTGAGACCAGCCTGGGCAACATAGTTAGACCCTATCTCTATTTAAATTTTTTAAAAAGTCAGGAATTGTGGCGCAACTGTAGTCCCAGCTACTCCAGAAACTGAGGCAGGAGGATCACTTGAGCCTAGGAGTCTGAGGCTGCAGTGAGCTATGATCATGCCACTGCACTCCAGCCTGGGCAACAGAGTAAGACCTCTCTCTAAATAATAATAATAAAACTCCAAAAGGATCGTAAACCAGGATATACTGTTGATGCTCCTTACTACAGGCATATTTTGAGTAGGATAAAAAAGGCACATTTTTCTTCTTTTCTTTTAGATAAAACATTATTTAAAATAACAAATTAATATTAGACGGCACTATCTTCAAAGCTGGTCATTTTCAGTACAGTTCTGTAAAAGAAACGAACAGCCAAGTTTATTTAGTCCCTTTCCCACTAACCCTTCATTGCTCTCCATCAATGCTAACATCATGTTTTCAACAGAAGTCTGTTCAGAAGTCTCTCTAGAACTTTCCTCCTAGAGCCTCCCCAGCCCTGGGATCACATCTCTTCTGTCCTCTCACAGGAAGCTATGGGGGGACCCGTCAGAGTTCCGACCAGAACGATTCCTGAGTGCTGAAGGCACTTCCATCAACAGGATCTTAAGTGAGAAAGTGATGATGTTCGGCATGGGCAAGCGCCGGTGCATCGGGGAGGTGCTGGCCAGGTGGGAGGTCTTCCTCTTCCTGGCCATCCTGCTGCAGCGTCTAGAGTTCAGTGTGCCACCAGGTGTGGAGGTGGACCTGACCCCCATCTATGGGCTGACCATGAAGCCTCCCCGCTGTGAGCACATCCAGGCACGGCTGCGCTTCTCCATCAAGTGAAGGAAGCACCCCATGTCAGGGCAGGGGAGTCGGTGGGGTCACCCGTGGGCCCCAGGCTCCAACCCTTGTTTCCTTTTTCTTCTTTCCTTCCTTCCCTCTTTCCTTTCTTCCTTCCTTTCTTCTTTTCTTTGAGTTGGGATCTCACTCTGTTGCCCAAGCTGGAGTACAGTGGCACCATCACAGCTCACCGCAGCCTCCATCTTCTGGGCTCAGGAGAATCTTCTGCCTCAACCTCCTGAGTAGCTAGGACTACAAGTCCTGCCACCCCACCTGGCTAATTTTTTTTTATTTTTTGTAGAGATGAGGTCTTACTATGTTGCCCAGGCTAACTTCAAATTCCTGGGCTCAAGCAATCCTCCTGCCTCAGCCTCCCAAAGTGCTGAGGTTATATGTGTGAGCCACTGCACTTGGTCTTTTGTTTCTTTTCCTTGCTTTTTTTTTTTTTTGAGTTCGAGTCTCGCTCTGTTGCCCAGGCTGGAGTGCAGTGGCATGCTCACGGCCACCACAGCCTCGAGCTGCTGGACTCAGGCGATTCTTCCACCTCAGCTTTCCAAGTAACTGGAACTACAAGCATGCACTACCACATCCTGCTGATTTTTTTGATTTATTATAGAGATGTGGTCTCAGCAAGTTGCCCAGTCTGGTCCCAAACCCCTGAGCTCAGATAATCCTCTCTCCTTGGCCTCCCAAAGTGCTGGAATTATGCCTGGCTTCTTTTCCTTGCTTAAAAAAAAAAAAACAGCTTAATGGAGATATAATTCTTATACCATATAATTCACAATCCAATGTACAACCCAATGGCCTTTAGTGTATTCTCTGAGTTATGCAATCATCACCACAATTAATTTGAGAACATTCTAATCACCCCCAAAAGAAACCCTGTTCCCATTAGCTGTTGTGCCCTGTTTCTCCCAACCTGTGCCCCTACATGCCCCACCTCCCTAGCCCTAGGCTACCAATCTAATTTCTGTGTCTATAGATTTGCCCACTGTGAACATGTCATATAAACAGAATTATACAATAAGTGATCTCTTGTGACTGGCTTCCATTGCTAGCATGTTTTCAAAGTTCACTCATGTTGTGTATTGGTAAGCCCCTGTTCCTGCGACCAGGTCCAGGTCAGTTTTCTCCTCGTCATTGAAGGCACCTCTTGCACCACTCTCTCCTTTCTTTCCTTGTATGACTTTCCTTTGAACACTCAAAGGGAGCAGGAAGGACAGGATCTTGCCTTGTGTGCCAAACCCTGATGGGTGGATGGGGCTCCCTCATATCCCATTCTCAAAAGGTAGAACACGTGACTTCTCACAAGGCCTCGATTTGTTCACTCACAATCAGGACAGAATAAGTGCCCCAGAAGTGCTTGGGGTTTTTGCAAAAGGCCCAGGACTCATCAAAGAATACTATCAGCTGGGCTCGGTGGCTTAGCCTGTAATCTCGCGCCTTGGGAGGCTGAGTGGATTGCCTGAGCCTGCGGGTTCGAGAATTGCCTGGGCAACTTAGTGAGACTTCATCTCTACAATAAATCAAAAAAAAATTAGCCGGGTGTGGTAGCGCGCGCCTGTAGTTCCAGCTACTTGGAAGGCTGAGGCGGAAGGATTGCCGGAGCCCAGCAGGTCGAGGCTGCGGTGGCCGAGAGCGGCCACTGCACTCCAGTCTGGACAACAGAGTGAGACTCCAACTCAAAAAAAAAAAAAAAAAGAAGAATACTATCAAGAAAGCAAGCCGGGCTCGGTGGCTCAGCCTGTAATCCCGTGCCTTTGGGAGGCTGAGGTGAGTGGATTGCCTGAGCCCACGGGTTCAAGACCCGCCTGGGCAGCGAGACCTCATCTCTACAATAAATCAAAAAATCAGCCGGGCGTGGTAGCGCATGCCTGTAATTCCGGCTACTCAGAAGGCTGAGGCGGAAGGATCGCCAGAGCCCAGTAGGTCGAGGCTGCAGTGGCCACTCCCGGTCACTGCACTCCAGTCTGGGCAACAGAGTGAGACTCCAACTCAAAAAAAAAAAAGAAAGCAAGAAGACAACTCAGAATACAGGAGAAAATATTTGCAAAACATATATCTGATAAGGTCTTTATCTCCATAATATATAAAGAACTCCTACAAATCAACAACAACAAAATAATTCAACTCAGAAATGGGCAGAGGACCCAAATAGACTGTTCTCTAAAGGTCTAAAGAGCACATGAAAAGATGTTCACCATCATTAGTCATGAGGGAAATGTAAATCCAAACCACAATGAAAACACCACTTCACACACTTCACACCCACTGAGATGGCTATAAGAAAAACAAAATAGCCAGGCTCTGTGGCTCAGCCTGTAATCCCGCGCCTTTGGGAGGCTGAGGTGAG